TTCTCTCAAAGTCTGTTAAACAGTCGCGCTCTTCTTCCGAGACGGCGAATTCTGACGTATAGCGGGTGACGATTAGGGCATAACAATATATATATAATATATATATATATATATATATGAGTATAATATACGATTATATTAATTTTATGAAGAAAAGTGTATACCGGTATTTGGATGTAGAATGAATTATTTGTCGGAAAATATTTACAACTGGATAATCCCAATCAGTATAATCATATATCCAAGACGAAACATTAAATTCATTAATAAAACTTTCTAGGTAAGCGCAGACTCTGCGCGGTTTTTGTCACCAATCTGCTACAAAACATGTCGCCAAATCCATAACCAAATGCGGACGCAGATGGCTACGGTTTTGTAGTCTAGATCTGATCGAGTTTGCTGCCAATTTGCGCGCAAATTGGCATCATTTTGTTATCAGAGTAGTAAACTGCTGCCAAACTACTGTCAACGTCTGCTGACATGTTTTTTACCAGTAAATTGGTAGCAAAAATCGAACAGAGTCTGCTGACAATACAGACTCTGTCTACAATTTGTTGCCAATCTGCAATCGAACATTATCAGCAGGTTCTGCTCCAAATCTGTTTCCGCAGACTTTGCTATCAGGGTAGGAAATCAAGTAATGGATTGAAATTGAGCTTAGTAACTCTAAAAGACGCTCTTATTTTTATAATAAAATGAAATGTGGGGAACACGCAAGGTTATATACTGATTTCGTTAAGCGCTTTCCTATTTTTCCTTGTGTTCGAACACTGCAAAGGCAGGGGTATATCATTTAAAATTTAATAGCGGCATTCTATTCGAAGTGTTTGACATGCTAATGTCTGAGATAGCTTGTACAGTCACACATGAAAAAGAATGTATAATAGTTCTTGATGAAATGGCAATAAAACCTGGTAAAAAGTTAGATCCATCAATACAAAGAATTATTGGATCCTGCACTTTACCAACACACTCAGGGATTGCAACAAAAGTTTTATTCATTTTACTAACAAGAGTTGCTCGTCGATGGAAGTTCGCTGTTGCTTATTACTTCACTGGTAAAACGGACTCCGAATGCAAAGAACGAGATATAAATGCGAAATAGGAAATGCACTAAATAAAATTATTCTCACTGTAATTGAGAAAGCAGATAATATTGGACTATGTATCAACATAGTGATCAGCAATATGGGCAGTGACAACAAAGCTATGTGGAATGCGTTCGGAGTTGGATGTACAATAGTTAAAGTAGACATTATACATCCTGTTAAACCAATGGACAAATTATATTTTATTCCTGATCTATACCTGATCGGTACATCTATTTAAGAATATTAAATATGTTGGGAAGTAATAAAACTATTCGTCTTTCTGCAAACATCCAATTATAATCTGACTTCTTCTTTAGTGGATATTCAACATATAGAAACATTATTGCATCATGAAAATAAGCATGAAATGCAAATAGCTTACAAGTACCAAATTTACATTACAGAAATCAATATAACAAAATAAGAGTATCTACTGTTAGCGCACTTCTGAATAGGAGAACAAAAAATGCATTAAAAGCATATAATTACACAGGTGATGATTTTTACAAAACGACAGCTTTTTTTATCGGTCTTATGCATCGCTGGTTTAACGTTATGACAAATAGATCACGTGTTTTAGCTCTCAACAAATCTAATATTAACATGTATAATGAAACTATTGCTCATTTAAGAAAAACCCAGCAAGTGTTTCGTTCTATGTTAGTAGGACAAAAAGGACACTGGAAGCCAGTTCAACCTGGAGTAATAATGGCAATAGAAAGCATAATTCTAGATTGCAGCAATATTTTTTAAATAAAAGAGGATACGACTTTTTATTAACAGGACGTTTTACACAAGATTGCCTCAAAAATATTTTTTCTCTTACAAGATGCAAGCAACCTATTCCAAATCCTCTTCTTTGTTAAACAAAATTTAAAAGTTATTACAATCACTCAAATTTCCTCCTGCTCGAAAACTACAAGTTACAACAATGATGAAGAAAATGATTTAGAGCACGTTAAATTTTTAAGATTTTTTTAAATTATTAAAGGAAATAGCGACAACTATAGAGAGAAAGCAAGAGAAATAGATACTTTAATGGAAAGTGTTGTTCCAGAATTACCATATGCATCTTATTGATTTTTAGGAACGGTTTATTATGTATGATATCGCTGGAGCAGTTGACCATTCTGTTAAAATACAACGAAAATATGACACATGTTAGAAATCCGTTCTGTGGCAGGGTACAGGTTCTCATTCATTTTCATTTATCGTAGATTTGCGAAGTTATAAAGCCGACAGCCTGTGTAAAGTATCACATTCCTGTTTTAAGGCTATCATGAAAACTGAAATTAGATTTAGGAAACTCAGGGCCGATTGTTACATCTTTCGGTAAAGTTTATGTTAGGTAAATATGGCAATCCGCGCACGTGATTGGGCAATTTTGCTACTTACCTAACAGGTAACCAAA